ATACTGTTACGATTCGTAAGAATATCGTGAACGCTTTTCTCTTTATGTTATTTAAGCTTCATCCTTTTGCTAATATAGATGCATTAACACTGCCTTGCAATAATTTTTAATACGGACAATAACGCTTAGCAAAGCCAATTATAATAATGCTTATCCCTTATCCTATACAGATCGCCAGTCACCGATGCTTACGCTTTTCCATGTGACCAGTGAGTAACTATATAACAATTAAATTCAATAAAATAAATTTATTTTACTAATAAAAATATTGCCGAAAAACTTTAAAGTTTTAATGTTTCTTATATAATAAAAAATTTTGTGTAGCTAATAAATCTTCTCAACTTTCATAAATTAATTCATAATCTCATTAAGCAAAATTGAACTATTTGCAACTTTAGTAAACAGAAATAGTCATATAATTTATGCTAAATACAATATAATATATGATCTTAAAACATTTATTAATTAAATTATAGTTATAATTTCGAATATATTAGTTATGATCATAATTATAATCATTGCAGTGATAGTGGCAGATTGACCTGTCCATTATGCTCTCGTCGTAATTGGGCTCAACTGGACAATGATTTATGGCGTTTGGACAAATGGTTGGAGTACGCCGAAGGTACGCAGAGTGAGCAGCATTCGCCGCCCAATGATATAGAACAATTGGAGGATGTAATTCAGGATCATCGCGAGTTTCTATTGGATCTCGACAGTCATAGGAGTATTGTAACGAGTCTGAATATAGTCGGTACTCACCTAGTCGATCATACTGAAGATACGGAACGTGCGAAGGAGCTTCGTGACAGATTGGCTGTGGCAAACAGCAGATGGGAGAAAATTTGTACAGCTGCTGTGGAATGGCAGGATCAGTTGCAGCACGCCCTCATGACGAATCGCCAATTTTATCGTATTATAGAAGAGTTATTAAGTTGGCTCGAACGCACTGAAGTCAGCATTAGAGCAAGCGAACCAATCGATTTGACCGAATCTAGCAATATCCTAGAAGCAAAATATAATAAATTTAGGTAAATATCTCTATCGATTTTTTCGCAAATCGACACTATCAATAAATGAAGTACATCAAAGTAGCTGAATTTGTATAGAAAATTTATATAGCAAATAATATATCAAAATTTATTTTAAAATTGTTTTATTCTTATTTTAGGGAACTGCGAAGTGATCTGGAGCGTTGCGAGCCGCGAGTAATATCGTTACAGGATGCAACTAATCATCTTTTGGATGAACAGACAGAAACTAGAACGCGTCTGCAAGAACTGCGATTAAGGTTACAGTCGTTAAGAAGACTCACAGGAATCTATGCCCTTAAATTAGGAGCTGCCCTCGGGCTGGACCCACGGGATATCGGTCTCGCTGCTACGTCTACATCCCTTGCATCTCTCTCACATGACGTAAGTTCTAAATTATTTCTTCTTGTATAATAAATCTACCTGTAATCAAAGCAGTCACCATGGTATTAATTCATTAATCTATTTATTATTATCAAGTTCGTATAAGCCTGAAGTAGATTTTTTAATAGATACTGTGACACCAAATGTAGTTGATTGATGTATTACATTGAGATATATGGTGCTTACCAGCAATAAATACAGTGTAACTCAGTGATTATTTCATTTTGTTTAACATTGACAAATAAGAAGGTTGTAATGATTCATAATATGTCATCTGTGTCTCCTGCTGAAAAGCACCTATAAAAATAATATACTTTGGTAATAATTTAAGAGCAAAAGTATTTAAAATTAAAAAGAAGATTTCTAGTTATATTTGCTGGAAATTGTTACAGATAAGATCTGATGTAATGTGCATTTTCTTTTAATTCTTTCACGTCCATACAATGGTATATGTATGTTTGTGGAAAGCTTATTAATTAGTTTTCCAGCTTAGAAAGTCTCAAAACGTCCCGCATCAAGAAATAAAACATTCAAAATTTTATAAAATGCATGACGACTATTGTACCGAGAATGAATTATTTTGATTAAATACTCGTATACTACATAATACGTACGAGTGTTTCATCTGATGAGATCCAGTGAATCGCTTACATTATTCCGAAGAATTAAAACATTTAAAATTAAAACAAATTAAAACATTTTTTCAGTACATTGATCAAGAGCTTTTAACGATAACCTTAATCATTATGATGACATTTTAAAGTGTAAATAAAAACTTACCGCCATCTAGCCGCCATCATTGAAATGTAATAATAAGCGCCAACTTCTGATTGATGCTAATTCCGCTCCAACTTCATGATAAACGTTATAAAAGCGAGAGAAATATTCCAGAAAAATCCAAATTGTTGAATAAAAATTCGAATGAATCATTGTTAATTACGATCCGCGCGCGTTAACTAACATATTACAGTGATAGCCTGAGCACTTAGTTCTATGTTTGAATCCGTAATTTCGCGTGCGGATCATTTTTACACAGAAAATGCGGGTAAAAAACGCGGAACGATTTCACCTCGACTCCGACACAGTCATGAGTCACGGCGCGATCTGAAAACTGACATGGCGGCGCATGCGCATAAATGCGTGAAATCATACGATTAAGGGTATAGTCAATGCGATGCTGCAAACGTTTTGAAGCGTTTTTTAATTAATCAGTTTATAAAATTCTTTCTTCTAATTGGTCCATCAAATGTTTTAAAGCATTTGTAGCGAGACTTCGACTACTTAATAACCATAAATTTTTGTTATAATTTATAATAAAAATACATTAGTCCCTTTTTTATACGAGAAATATATATGATACACAAAGTAACTTTCGCTAATGCTATCATTATAATAAATACTATCATGTAAAAATTAATTCGCTTTAAAAAATTAGAAAAAAACATACATATTCTATGTTTATTAAAGTGCAGTGTAATAAACTACTTTATAATTTTATAGTATTGGTCCGTTTTGATTGTTTGTCTGAAAATTTCTTAAAAATGGCTTGACCTTTTCTGTTTTTGGCAATAGATATCAGATCGATCCTTAGCTTTACCGTAAAATGTGAGCCAAATCAGTTAATCATAAAGTGGTCAAAGGTTTAGATCAATGAGATTTTCAGTAATGTAGAACAAATTAAACGGCTTCATTTTCTCAAATTTTGATTTTTCGTTGCTACTTTGTTACATCTATTTGTAATGATTGATTTCTAAGTACGATTTTTTTCAATCATTATCAATCGCTTTCCACCTTAAAAACCATGTAACGTTTCGGTCTATTAAACTCTTCACCTTCAAATAATTTGATGAAAATGTGTTTATTATTAATGCTAACTTGATAGAGGTGAGGTACTTGATAGATTTCACGATTGTCACTTTTATATGTATGTTACCACTGCGACAAGATACTATTAAAGACCAATAACCTTAGACAAATTTTCGTCAATCAAAAGGACCCTGAAAGCTCGGTGATAATTGAAGAATACAAACATTACCATATGTTTTAGTGGTCCCAACAATGAATTAATGAAGATTTTACTTTTCCTAATCACTATTTCATCATCAGAAATATACAAATCTAAAGATATATTTTTATGGTAAAACAATAATTAAAGACAAAAAATCCTTATTATTTATCTTCGGAACTGCAAAAACAGTTGACAATAATGTCCGCATTCTTCAATTTTTGTTTCCCGGAGTGGCCATACTGGTTACATTAATTCATATTAATATGTTAGTCTTTAATAATATCTGCTCAGTGATGATACTGAATAAAAAGCGATCTTAATGTTTTTATTTCTACATCTGTGTATGATTTATTGTAGATTATTGCACAATTAGTAAAATCACACAAATTTTTCAGAACGAGAAGCGTCATTCGATGATGAGAAGTCATCACAATGGCACTTACATGCATATAAGTTATCCGTAGTAATCACTTGCACAGTATCTTATTGTTTGTGTTTTCTGTTTTGTTGAACTGTAGCTGCTCGACGAAGCTGCCTCTGGGACTGTTCAGCCTCACGCCACCGGCACAGAGTATGTTGTTTCTTTTTTCGTGACAATATTTGTCAATTAGTTTTACGATAGAACTTTATTTATTATAAGGATGATCATAATAATTACATATTTATTTAATGAGTGAGATAGATAAATAAAACTCCGTCATTTGTAAGAAAAATTAGTTCTCATCATTTCAACGAATCTTATTTAATATTCCATTACTGGAAATCTGTTGCAGTGGTGACGAAAGAGACCAAACGGTATTGGCACGTGGTTATCGCTTCTTAGGACGAGTTCTACGAGTTTCTCTTCCAATTCAAGCATTGATGCTGTTACTGCTTGGCGTCGCATCTCTGGTACCATCTGCAGAAGAAGACTACAGTTGTATGCTTTCTAACAATCTCGCGAGGAGCTTCACGCCAATAGCTTTTTATCCGAATGGACCTCCACCGGTATAACAGTAAATAACGTTTAAAGACCGTATTCTTGAATAATATCATATACAAAAATACTACAGAAATTTATAATATACGTATATTATACATAATAGCGTATATTATAGTATTTTCATCCATTTTGATATGCGACATTTTACAAGAATACGGTCCCTGTCGTTTTGTTGCGTGTCACTTTGCCAACTTAAGATTGATACTTCTCATGGGGCATTGACGAGGCAAGCCAATACAAAGCCGATCAAATTTCTTTACCTTTACCTTGCGTAATTAGCATTGAAAGATACGAAATTCAAACTGCCTTTAGCTTTCTTCGTCAATGTTTTTATTGACTGCAGCCGCAGTGCGCGTATCACAGGAATCTTTATATAATATATGTATATTGTAATTTTACACACGACGAATTTGTACGTAAGTAATTAATGTAACGGACCAAGCGGTGACTGAAAATATGTAGCCGACGCGAAAACACATTCTTTAATTTATTATTATTATTATTATTATATATATATATACATAATATTGTATATTTCGTTATAAATTCAATATGCGTGCAATATCATGCTCCTTCCCGTGCGAAGCGTGCACACGGTCAAATGTCTCAGTATCATAATGAATAATACCTATCTTGACAAAGTATTTATTGTAAAGACATTGACTGACTTGAAACGTTCGAATGTATGTACAATATATCGACCTTGTATATTAACCCTTCAATTGCGAAAGGTATATGTATACATATGACTTTGAGAAAGTTGCCTTTCATTTGCGGGAAAACCATATATATGTATATATTAATTTGTAGTTGAAATTTGGAGCATTCTTGAAGCGAAAATTAACAATTTGTCCAAATTCAACAAGCTTATAAAAATGAATATATAGCTAAAACAAAATAACAAATTCAAAATAAATGAACAATAACAAAAGATAAAAGATGTGGAACAATTCATCCACGTGTTTTTACTTATATATTACTCCCTTACTTCAAAAGTTGACGTAACTCGAAAAATAAAATTACCCAAAACAGGAAAAATTATTTTTTATTTAAATTTGACAAAAATTAATAATCAAATAATATCGGCAAAAAGAATATAGCGATAAATGTATTTTTTACGATTAATAAGAAAATATTTACTTAACTCACTCTTGGTTTAAATAACTAAAAAAACATATTTTTAGAGTTTTATCATTATTGAAATAAACAATATATAAGCTACAAATATTTTTAGTTAGTAAAATTCCAGACATTAATTCTCAATACTAATGACGTGATTTTTTTTATAACCTTTTCTATTCTACATAGTACGTACTATACATATAGGTTCAAATGCGAGATAATGCTTACAAGTATGATTTGTGTTTTCCAAATATGATTTAAATTTATTTTAGATATATTATCATCCCACGTGAATTCTTTTTTCTGCAAAATAAGAAAATCAAAAAGTTTCTGAAATGTAATTTTCTTTAGTCTATTTTTTTTTCATAGACAATCAGTAAAAATTCTCATTGTTCTTGATTACAGTAATTTGCAGGAAATAAACAAGAGACAAAAACAAGGGCTATGTACTTTATTTCTAGCACTTTTTACTTATTATTTACATTTCTTTTTTTCTTTCTCTCTCTAAACATAAACCTATTTAGGTTTAAGTTCAGAAATTTGTTATTATATTTACATAACTCGATTTACATCGAAGTTATAACATCGATGTTATAAAGCTGGCCAATTACAGCTACGCCTCTGAAAAATTGAATGACTGTGATTGCCAGTTTCGTAACATTGATATTATATAATTTTGACGTAAATCGAGCCGTGTAAATATAGTTTGTGATAGCTAAAAGATAAAAAAAATCGCTAAAATCATCAGGGTATCTATATTTCTGATTGTTTCATGACATCTTAAGACTGTACTTAAAATGATCTTAAATATAAGAATCGAATATAGGCGGTATTCACAGTCGATTCTTACCATTCAAGATCGTCTTAAGTACAGTCTTAAGATGTTACGAATCAATCAGAGGGCCGTATTAGCATTTTAAGACATTACTTAAAACGATATT